GACTATAGTAAAGATGCTAGATCAGGTAGAATGATATTAAAAGATTCTTGTGTTAAAGCAACTGATACACCACTTGTAGATAATTTAACAGTTGGTATTGGATCAAATGTAATGTTAGTTGTTAATTTAGATGTTTCAGCTGGTTTGATTAATGGAAGTTTTGGTACTGTGACATTTATTGAAAATGATCAAAATGATAAACCTAGAAAGATATATGTTAAATTTAACAATGCTAAAGTTGGTTTGAGTAAGCAGACATATCGTCTTCCACCTAATGTTGAACAAGGTAGTATACCTATAGAAAGATATGAAAGTACACATATAAATTTTAAAGGTGATGTTCGTCGTCAATTTCCATTACGACTAGCTTATGCAGTAACTATTCATAAAGTACAAGGTTTGAGTTTAGATAGAGGTGTCGTTTCTTTAGATAGAATTTTTCAAACAGGGCAAGCATATGTTGCATTAAGTCGAGTTAAAACATTAGAAGGATTGACAATACAAAATTTTAATGAGAAAGCTATATTTTGTGATGAAAAGATTGAATCTGCTTTAAATGAAATGCCAAGATTTTTACAACCTGAAGAACAACGTAAACATAATAGTTTTAATATTATTTTATTTAATGTTCAAGGACTTACTACACATTTAGAAGATTTAAAACATGACAAAAGATTTATAAATTCTGATATGATATGTTTGACAGAAACCTGGTTAAAAAATGTAAGGAACCCTGCTAAAGTACGATTGGATAATTTTATATTTTATAATCAACCTCGTCACAATAGCTATGATGATAGTGCTAATTTTAAAAATCTTAAAGAAAAAGACCATGGTGGTGTAGGAATATATTATAGTAACAATAAAGCTTGTAATATAATAAGGTTAGGACAATTAAATATAGAACATGTTGCCTGTAATATTCCAGATAAAAATATTTCTGTAATTGTTATTTATAGACCACCAAAATATAGATTAGAATTGTTCATGCCTCAATTAGAACGATTGTTGACTGAGTTACAAGAGTCTGGTTATCATTATATTATTATGGGAGATTTCAATCAAAATCTATTAGAAGGACATAGTTCTATTAAGGATTGTTTTCAAGACTTTAGGTTTAAACAGTGTGTGACAGAGAGTACAACAGAAGGCAATACAATATTAGATCATGTTTATATGAGTTCAGGTATTAATTTAAAACGTGTTAAAATTACTATTGTACCTACATATTATAGTTATCATGAAGCTGTTAACATTCAGTTATTGTAATTTACTTTCTATTTTCAGAAACAGTTCAGATATATTATTGTATTTTAAAGGAAAAAAGATGGGTAGGGAAGACCATTTACCTCTGTTGCGTGGGGGTGGGTAATGGTGGGTAGGAATGAAAATAGTTTTTGAAGAAAGAGAGCAGAATACATAGCATGCTGAGTAGTGGTACAAGTGTTTACAATAATCTGAGAACATAAATGGCCAAGTTCACATGTATTACCACAACATTTCAACTGTATTAACAGTAATAAATAAGGTACTATTCTATTCTGTTATATCTTTCCAAATGCATTTAACATTATCAAATGAAGGTAACTTAAGAAGAATCATCTTTCATCTGAATTGGTTAACTTACCATATGCAATCATTTGTATAGACAGAAGTATGAATAGTTTGTGCTGTATTTTTAAACAAGTATTTTTTATATTTTCAGTCAACATTTGAGGAAATATATATAACATGTTGAGAAAA